CGGGCTAGAACACTGCCACAATCATGGCATACTTCATCGAGATATCAAGGCTTCGAATCTTCTAGTTGACAACAATGGAATTCTGAAGATTGGAGACTTTGGCTTGGCTAATTTCTTTAAGCCCGATCAAAAGCAGCCGTTAACAAGTCGTGTCGTAACTCTATGGTACAGAGCTCCTGAACTTTTGTTAGGTGCAACAGAGTATGGAGTTGCAATTGATATGTGGAGTGCTGGCTGCATCCTTGCTGAATTGTTTGCTGGGAAGCCTATCATGCCTGGAAGAACAGAGGTATTACCTTTGGCTTTAGTATTTAACTTGACTCATATATATACTCTAGTACTGTCTTTTCTGGACCAACTATAAGCTTAACGGGTTTTACACTAAACAATTTTTGTTGCGGATCACATAACGTTGATTGCTCTAACAATATTCCTGTGTAAAATAATGAAAAATATGTTTCAGGTGGAGCAAATGCATAAGATATTCAAGCTATGTGGTTCACCTTCTGAGAAATACTGGAAGAAATCAAAATTACCACATGCTACTAGTTTTAAGCCACAGCATCCATATAGACGATGTGTTGCTGATATGTTCAAGGACTTCCCTTCATCAGCTTTGGCTCTTGTAGATGTACTCCTCTCAGTAGAACCGGAGGATAGGGGTACAGCTTCTTCAGCACTCAAAAGTGAGGTAATTTTCTTTCTTGGCTCTTTGGAACTAGAATTAGGAACTTCCGTTTCCTTTAATTAATCTGCCGGCATGTGCACACACACAATTGAAGCTGCAAAACTTATGTTGATAGTGTGACTCATCATGTTTGATTTGTGCTACTTTCTCACTAGTTTCAATGATGATTTGTTACTGTATGTTTAATTTTCAGTTCTTTACAACAAAGCCTCTTCCCTGTGATCCTTCTAGTTTACCTAAGTATTCTCCAAGTAAAGAATATGATGCCAAGCTACGTGAAGAGGAAGCGAGAAGGTGAGCAATCAAATATTTTTATGCAACAACTCTACTACTTTCTAACTCAAAAATTTGGGCTTTCCATCATATCAACAATGTTTTTCTCAGATAATATACCCATATAATTTCTGCGAAAGTTCTTGTGTCCTATCGGGTTATCAGTAGTTATATATTATGAAATTTAAAAAAATTAGATAAAATTCCATCTTCAAGAGGCAAAAAAGTCACCATATGGTGCTTCCATATAAAGCAATAGTTCCCAATGACTTCCGCAAACTATTATCAATTCATAATTTATTCGTCACGTCATGTGGTTATTATGATATTATTGTCTGCTTTGTCATGCTTTAATCACTATTATTGCTATATGACTTCAGAACATTTGTCGCTTGTGAGAAATTATGAGTAATTTATTAATCACAAGGATATTTTATATTCATGGAATGATTCCAGACTGTGCTCTGGACTACGTAAACCTTATGAATAATTTACAAAGTGTTTACTGTCTTATTTCAGGCGAAAAACTGAGTGTGTAAAAGGAGGTGGAGCTGAATCTATTAGGAATAATTCAAGACAATCGAAGGCACAACCAGAGGGACAGGTTCATCTATTTTTTTAATGCTTCTTCTGTCTTTTTTTCCCTATAAAATTCTCATAATTATTCTGAACAAAACAGGGACAATCAAATAAAAGCACCAGTGTGAAGTACAATTTACAGGAGGACAGTGGATCTGGCTTCCCAATCGAGCCACCAAGAGGAAATCTGAGAAATGGTTATTCTCATTCTAATTCAATGATTCATCCTAATGCAGTAGGATGCTCGCAGAATAAAAGGGTAAAGGATGATTCTAGTCATATGTTCCCAGAGCGGACTTGCTCATCTCAACATGTTGGAGAGTTGACAAGACAAGGTTCGCAAATGCGTCCATCAATAGTAGACTCCTTCCATCATTCAAGGGGTGCTGATGGAAAATCTAATAACGACTCATTAGTATGTTCTCAAAACTGTCTGGTTTCATTTCCTTGCCCTATCTGCTAGACATAATTTGAATGTTGAATTCACAACCAGCTGCATCAAAACTGTTTCTTAACATATCTTAATGCACTCTTTCTAATTTTCTTGATGGTCTTTAAAGGAAAATTTCGATTAAAATGATGCAAATCATATACTTTATAAAGCTTTGTTCTTCATTTCTGACCATAAGCAACCTAATACTAAAACGTATTATTATCCATATTTCTCTCTTGGCCGAGGATCCATAGAGTCTATACTAATGGTTGGTCCGTAGTAAACTGATCAACAACCATTATTGTCATATTTTGGTTGTGGTAGCTAGCTCTTGTATATTTTTAGAATTGACTAGTGTATTTTCAGAGTTATGTACCAAAGAGGAGCAGGATCCTCTGCTCTGGACCATTGATGCCGCCAGGTGGAAACATGGAAGACATGCTAAAAGAACATGAGAGACAAATTCAAGAGGCAGTTCGCAAAGCACGTCTAGACAAGGCCATGACCAAAAAAAACTGCTATGAGTAGTCCAACTTGTGGAAGGAAGAAAAGGAGTACCGCTAAACACAATATATTACTCCCTCTCTTTTGGAAATGAATATAATTGGTTACATCTCTTGTTGCTGGCATTGGAACATGCATTTCTCGATAGGTTGTAGAAGGAGCTGAAAATGTGGTTTAGTTGGAAACTAAGGGCTCTTAGATTTCAATTTGCTGATGTACTTCTCAAGTTGATAATAGAGTACTGGGTTTTTGTAAGTGGAATTGTACCTTCTGGGCAGCGAATTTCCATATGTATATTGTAAAGTTTGAAGAAGTTGCTTAGTCTTGGTTATGTTGTGTGTGTACAAAGCAAATTCATTTCTCTCATGACTGCTGATATTAACAATTTAGAAACAGCAGTTTCAGTATACAATCTGGATGGAACCATGGATTATTATGCAAGGGTATATAACTAGATGGAGATTGCAAGTGTGTATAAAGAGAAACTTTTCCTTCAGAAGATCAATGTAAGTTCAATACATACATTTATTGGTAGCAAACTTATTTATACAAGGGTCCGTTTGATTGCAAAGGTGGAAAATGGGTGGAAAGAAAATGTTTTACAGGGAATTGAATTGTCTAGAAATTGTTTTCCTGTGAATTGTAATTAATTGTGTTTGATTAGTATAATTTTCCACCTAGAAAATGTTGAAAGTTTGGTATTAAAGGTGGAAAATGGGTGGAAATAAAATGAATTCCACGAAAAGTAATTGTCTAGAAATTGTTTTCTAAGGAATTGTTAATTAAGTGTATTTGATTGGTATAATTTTCTGGGTAAAAAATTTTAAAATTTTGTGTTCGTTTGGCTTAGTTTTATATGGAAATTATCCATTAAAGTTGTTTTTTTTTTTTTTTTGCCACAATTGGTTATAAAATTTGTTTCCATTGCCAAAAAGTTAATAAAAAAAAAAAAGGAAATTTTTTTATCAAAGTTTAGTGTTCGTTTGACTTCATTTTATATGGAAATTGTCAATAAAAGTGATAATTTTTTTACCATTATATCTAGAATTTTTCCCAATTACCAAAAAAAAGCAAAAGCTTGAAAATCAGTTCCTGTCAAAACACAAGGAAAACAAAAGCAATGATTTCCAGGAAAATCAGGCGCGTCAGGTTGCGGCTGTAAAATTTTTTTCAAGTAAAATAATTGCTATCAAACATTGAAAAGTAGGAAAAATGCAAATATTTTCCATTTTCCATGAAAAAAAGAAGGTATCAAACAGACCCTAAATGTAAGCAGGTGTTCAATGTAAAATATAACTGATGTAGAATCAATAAGAAATTAACTATCAATTAGAAAGAAAGCAAGCAAACAACCCACTACTATAAACCCAATAATAGAAAATAAAACTAATAAGGTCCAATAACAATAAAAAACTAAATCTCGATAATTGATATTCGCATCAAGTCTCTTGGGGTGGGAGAAAACTCGACAATGTTGAGTGGATAAATTTCTAGCACGGGGACGATCTTTCATAAAAACCAAATATCGAAACTCCAGCAGTGTAATCCAGATTTGCTGGAACTTCTCTATAGGACTCCATGTATGGTCTGCATCAGGTGGAACTATCCAACGAGCAAGGAAGTACCGAATCTCTCTATCATTGGTCAACACAATTTGTTCATTTAAAATAACATCAATTGTATCTTTTTGTGCTGTGACAGATGGTATGGAAGTAGAAATATCAACATAAACAGGTTGGGAGTCTACAGAGTTAAATAGAAAATGATCATCAAAGGAATTGGCACGGTATTCGTAAGTAATGAAGTCCCCAATATTTAAAGTAGAGTGGTAACCAAAATGTGATAAAAGATCAATGACATGTGCATTTGGACCAACATGCTTTAAAATTTTAAAATGACCAGCATTACGGGCTTACAATATAACATACTCCCCAATATTAAATTATAAATGATGTTTATGCAAATCTTCAAAATGTTGTTTATTGATCTCAATATGCAAATCATGAAAATGATGTACAAATGCTTTAGCGACATCGACACACTCGCATGTGGGGACATGGAAATAAGGTCCAAAGGCTTCATAGGCTCACAACCATGAATAATTTCAAAGCGACTCATACTTATAGACCGATTCACAGAATTTTTATACATAATTTGAACTATTGGGACGATCAAATCCCAATTCCCAAGATTTTCCTTAAGAATGGCATGACTACATAAATCAATAGCACATTTGGGTTGGTAAATGGTATGACATGCAACAATTGACTGAGAGGTATCAGGAACAAGAGGCACAATATGGAGATTCATAGGAAAAGTCCGAATACTACCTAAGGAGGTGTTCTCACTATCATCCAAGTCATCAAATTCTTCAAGTTTAGGTTCATAGACTTGATCTTCTAACTACTCATCTAATATATTCTTTCGTTCTTCAATTACTAAAGTCCGGCTAGGACATTTGGAAGAGATGTAGCCAAAGTCCTTACAGTTGAAGCACTGCAAGTGAGAAGAAGTTCTTGGAATTTCAGAAATTGCACCCTTATTTTCGAACACAGAAGAAACATTTGATGGGGAAGGTCTCCCAATAGACTTAAGAGGAAGCGACGCTGATGAGATTGGTGTATGGTTGTCACCATGATTTTCATATGGAGTACCACTAAGCAACTCAAAATCTCGGGCTAAAGAGTAAGCGTGATTAAGAGTAGTGACACCTCGAAGGAAAAGCTCATGCCTAAGATCATATCTTAAACCTTGTCTAAACCTACTCAAAGTCAGGGCTTCATCTTCAAGACATGACATTTCATTTGAAATTCCTCAAATTCAGCAACATACTCAGTCACTAAGCGATTCTCTTGTTTAAGGGAAGTCCATTGGGTAAAAACTTCAAAATCTAAGCAACCATCAAAAGTAGAGTAGAAACATCTACTTTAATGTTTCTAAATGAACGATTCTTATGACGCAGAAGAGAATGAGTACCGTAAAGATCATGGCCTCGTTCTCGTTTTCGCTCACGCACCTAATTCCTATCCCTACGATCGTGTCGAAAATATTTTTTATCACATTTTCGACGACGATAGTGGATAATATGAGACACTTCAGAGTTATCAACAATAGTCGTATGGAGGATTTGCTTAAAATTGTTCAAACTAGCAGCTAGGCTCCTAATCTCTTCAAGAGTAGTAGTTATTTGGATTTGAATAGCTGCTATTTGATGGGTGAGTGCATCAAATTGCAAGGAGTCCATAGTTGAGGTACTGAAACTAGAAGTGACAAGACGACCACTACGCAACTGTAAGCACTGTGTTAGCAGCAAAATGACGTGCGATGGAGATATTAATGAACAATAAGGAGAAGCAATGGAAAATAACAACTTGAACATTAACAATTTTATTTTTATTTTTTTCACTCTTTTTTTTTTGGATTATGTAAATCAAAATACGACAAGCTAATACTGCCGATACATATAAAATCACAAAACATTGGTCAAATACTAGTAAAAAAATTCGATCACATAAAATAAGTGGGATAAAATAGGAATTTAACAAGTCAAGGGAATGGTCACGTGAACTTTAAATAAAATGATGAAAATTCAACAAGTCAAGGGATTCGGTCACGTGAACTTTAGGTAAACTTAGAATAACAACAGCACAAAGAAATTAATTGATGCAATTTTAATAATAAACAGTAATATAAACCAATGATAAATAAACAGCAGCTCCCCTGTTGTTCGTCGAGGTAAATAAGCACCAAGTAATTGATCATCAAAGACACGAAACAATCTCTCCCGTTCTGTTCGTTGAAGTAGCTGAACCAACCAACAGGTCAAAGAAGTACCTACAAAAATATGTTCGAAAATATTCCCATTTTTACGTTATGTTCGTTGAAGTAGCTGAAACAACCAATAGGTCAAAGAGGTACGGGGTACCAACCACTTTTTTTTCCACTACAAAAATATGTTTGAAAATATGTTTGTAGAGGGAGAAAAAATAAGGAAGGAAGAAGTAAAAACGAAGTAAAAAGAAGACAAAAAGGAAGATAATGAAAAGAAAAAAAAAAGATGTAGAAAAAGAAGGTAAAACCTAGTGTTGCCATCTTTTTTCACCCTCTCGGTGACGACGCTAGGTTTATAGAGAGCAAAAGTGGGAAAAAAGAAAAAAAAAGAAGAAAAAGAAGGAAGAAGAAGTAAAAATGACGAAGTGTTCGGTTAAAATTTGGAGAATCCGACACATATTTCCTACCCATACCCATATCATGTCAAACAATTCCGAAGAGTCCGTGCATCAAAGACCGTTCAACAAGGGAACACTCGTGTTTTCTTTCGATTCCTTGCAGCGTGGCTTTTATTCTTGTTTTAGTATGCGCCTTCAACAAGAACGCACTCGATTCTTCTTCCTTTTTTATTTATTTTTATTTTTTTATCGATAAATGTAAATTTGTATTGATCAAAACAAATATAAAAGTACTTTGGGCATAAACGAGCTTAAAAAAATCAAAAGTTGTATTTCATGTTCTGTTCTTCGAACTCATTAAGGAAAATGCTGCTTTCGTCATTGGCCTGATTTCGAGCTTGCAGAAGATAAAATCTAAAGATCCAATGCTGAAGACTTAAAATGAAATAAAACGTGACGATACAATGGAAACATGACTTTGTACGCGTGTTTTTATTCATCTCACGATGCTATCAGTGTGTGGTCTAAGATTTTTAAAAATCAATCGGTTCCTTGTCCAAATATGGTAAATTGTGCTTGCAAGTGCAATTTTCTTGGCTTGGCTTTGAGGCATGTTTATTATGTTTGTAATGATCAAATTACTATCGTTATATATTAACTAATGAACACTACAAAATTACACATGTTTAAAAAGTTATTTTTCCCCTTCTAGTTGAAACGTGATGTATCTTGTACACAGATAAGAATATGGTAGATGTATATTTTGCAAGTTGTTTTTCAAGATATTTTTTTATTCTCTTATCATCTTTCATGTTTATTAGTAGAGGATATTTTTTTCTTCACAAGGAAGGAAATTTAATTCTCCATTTGGTTTAGGCAAGCAAAATATCAGATGATTTTTATTTCCCTGAATGAAGAAATATATCTTGCCATTTATTTGCACGGACCTTGCTCTTCTATAAGTACTGTTTTGGTCGAGCAAATTAGCAGAGATTTATAGTCTTCAACAATCTCCTTGTCAAGAAATATGAAGTCCAAGAACCAGACTTCCATGATCAACCTTAAGCTTATGGTCCTCTCCTTTTTCTTTCTCTTAGTTCTCTATGTAATTCTAAGATCGAATTATTCATCTTTTCAGCCAATCAGAAGATCATCATATCCGTCTTTCTTATCGATTTGCAACAAAATTCCTCCTTCTCTAGCCACATCCCTTGTTCACTATGCAACTTCAGACGTGATACCCCAACAAGACTTGCACGAAGTTTCGAGAACGTTGAGAGTCCTTGAAAAGAAGTCACCGTGCAATTTCTTAGTTTTCGGGCTTGGCTTTGACAGTCTCTTGTGGGCATCACTCAATCACATGGGGCGAACCGTGTTTCTTGAGGATAACAAGAATTGGACAAAAATGGTCAAAAAACAAATGCCTTCACTGGAAGTTTACCATGTTTCCTATAAGACAGATATCAAACAGGCTGATGAGTTGTTATATAAAGGAAATTCAGAAGAATGTAAAGTTGTGGGTGATCCAAGATCTTCGAAATGTCCACTTGCTATAAAGAATTTTCCAAGTATAGTGTATGAAACAGAATGGGACGTAATTATGGTGGATGCGCCGGTAGGAAGCTATAATCGAGGACCGGGGAGGATGAATACCATATACACAGTAGGGTTATTGGCCAAGAATAAAGAAGATGGAGAGACAGATGTATTTGTGCACGATATAGAAAGGAAAGTGGAGAACTCCTTCTCAAGATTTTTTCTCTGTGATGCTTACATTACCGAGGAAGTTGGGAGATTGAGACATTTTAACATTCCTAGTCACCGTACTATTGCTTCTTCTCATACACCTTTCTGTCCATAGAGGAGGTGATGTACCGAGGTGTTTACCTTTATCTTTCTTTTATCTGGGAATTTTCTTCCATTTTTCCACTTTGCTTTGATTTTGTTTGCTCCAGAATGTGGGCAGGTTACCTTTGTTTATTCTTTGAAGACTGTTTTGCTTGGTAATATTCAAAATAACGTTATTGTTTCAGTTGTTAATTTTAGCTTGTTATATTAAACTGGAAGATAAAGAGAGACTTTCGTCGATGAATTTGGTAAAGAATCAGGATCAAATTTAAATTCGAGGGCTCATATCTGAAAGAGGTTGACAATAAGTTTTTTCATCTCTCAGTGTCAGTATCCGCCTAATAGAGTGCTTTCGCCATTGGATTCTTTCTGATCTCTAAGCATTTCATCGCTCACGTTCTTGAATTGATTGGAATGGAATGATGAGTATATTTCTCTGTCTCTTTGAGAATAAATCAAAATTCTAGTGGACAATGGCCAGATATATGAGATATCAAAAAATCCGATTATGCTGACTTGATATTCAAATATTACGAGATAGGAAAATTTTGATCTGTAGACATTCACAGCATAAAAAATGACTAATCACACGGGAAACACAATAAAGAAATGCAGTTTCACATGGATACCTTAATTTATTGAATAAAAATCTCAGTGGTTGTTACCTACTTTATGGTAAAACATCTATTCCTAATAAACATCTGTCCTCCAAAATAGAAACATCAGCCCTCACGCGTTGCTTTAATTAAGGGAAAAAAGGTACAAAATTTGAGTGAAAAGGCTTTCTTTTTCCACTCTCAGCTTCTTCAAGTCTTGATACACTCAGATCCCTAATATCCCACTTTCCAATAGCCTAAAATCTCTCTTTACCCTCGGGGGAAAAAAGAAAAACATGAGAGCTGCAGCACATTACCTAAATAATCTCAAACTCATTCCCATTTTGTTATTCTTTGTTTTTCTTCTCTTATTGATATTTGGATTAAGTTTCCAATCTTCCCAGCAAATTTCTTCATCAACAAATCCTCAAAACTCAGATTCTCTTGAAGAGAAACAATCAAGAAGTTGTCCAACGCCTCCTCTATCACCCACTTGCACCAAAATCACCCCTTCTTTAGCACACGCTATGGTTCACTATGCAACCTCTAACATCACGCCGCAACAAACTCCCAAAGAAATCTCAGTATCCCAAAGAATACTTGACAAAAAGTCACCCTGCAGTTTTTTAGTCTTCGGATTAGGCCACGACAGCCTTATGTGGACTGCACTCAACTATGGTGGGCGCACAGTTTTCCTCGAAGAAGACAAGTCATGGATCGAACAGATCAAGAAGCAGTTACCATCCTTAGAATCATATCATGTAGCGTATGACACTAAGGTCACTCAAGCTGATGAACTCCTTGAAATTGGCATAAAAGAAGAATGTAATGTTGTTAGTGACCCCAGATTTTCAAGATGTAAACTTGCTCTAAAGGACTTGCCTAATGAAGTGTATGATATAGAATGGGATTTAATAATGGTTGATGCGCCAACCGGATACCATGATGAGGCACCGGGAAGGATGAAGGCAATTTATACAGCCGGATTGATTTCTAGGAATAGGGAAAACGGTGAGACTGATGTATTTGTGCACGATGTGGATAGGGTGGTGGAGGATAAATTCTCAAAGACCTTTCTGTGTGAAGGGTACTTGAGAGAACAAGAAGGAAGGATAAGGCATTTCACTATTCCAAGTCACAGGGTAGACCTGGCTAGACCTTTCTGTCCGTAGAGATTTAGTTGATTTTGCTGTGAAATTTGGAATATGCTACTTGTACATAATGTCGTGTCCATAACGGTGTCCATCGCCTCAAATGGAGGAGAACCCACTTTGAATATATTATATTTTATTCGAAGTGGATCCCCCTCCATGTGAGGGGATAGACACCATTATGGACACCCCATTATGTACGTGTAGTATCACCCGTAAAATTTTACCGTAGTATAATTTTGAATCTCTTCGTGAAAAGATGTTTATTGCCAGTTGAGGTAAATTGAAGAGGGACTTTTGGTTTTATTTGCCTTCTGTGTATATACCCAATATTATTCAATTTCATTCAAATTTATGTGTGTGTTAAAAGTAAAAAGATTACAAGTGAAAATGATCATCATTCTCTTCTGATGTTTAACAAACAAATGACGTCAGAGTGTACCAACTGAAAATATCCAGCCTAGAATATCACAATGACTACCCATAGGTTCTCTTTTATGAACTAACGGGATAAAATCAAGAACAAGTTGTAGAAATATTTTTTTTTCATTTGACATGGGGAACAAACTCTGCTTTTACAAGAATTTCTTACAGAGAAATGCGTATCTATTGACAAATCAATCCAAAACGACTACAAGAAGTCTCTATTACGATGAACCTCCATGTCAGTAGCCCCATTTATTCATTCTACATTCTGAAAGTAATTTCTCATAATCACATTCAAGTTTGGTGTAGGCATGACTGAGATCTTCAAACTGAAGATGATCAGGATCCTCTCAGAGATGCTGGAAAATAGTTTTAATGTTAGATCTAGATTTATTCTTGCACAATTGCACTGAAAAGAAAAGAATCAAACAAAAAAAAAGGGATCAGGGTGAATATATTGGCATATACATATTGCACCTTATTAGTGAAGTTATATCTAAGATGAAATATAGAATACCATTTTCAATATGAACTAGCATACCAACTATACAAAGCTAGATGGGATGAACTACTGTTGAAAATTTAAAGAGGAAGAGGAAAATAGGATCACCAAGAGCAATTTTAATGATACGAGTGCTTTGAGATTGCTACTAAACTTCAAAAGATAGATTACAATATTGATAAAATGCTCTACTTTAATATTAAATGAATAGGTAAATGTGTATATATTTCAGTCCTCCAGCTGCCGGCCCTTCACTCTTTTCCGTTGGTGTCTATATATATACTGGGTGCAAGCAACGTGCAATGCACGTTTGCTTAGTTTATATTTAATATTTTTGTTTAATAATTAATTTGTTATTAATAAAGATGTAATTTTTTTTTTTTATTAATTAAGGGCGTGTCTGGGCACGCTGCAAGGAGAAATGAAAATTGATTATGTTACCGTCTTTTTTTCAAACCTACAGCCCTACAGTAAGAGAATTGGTCCAAAATTGCGGCTCCCAACGGCATGAATTGTGTTGCTAACGGCTTGATTTCTGTTGAAAAGCAGAAACAGACACCCTATAAATAATTAATGATGTAATGTTTATGTAATTGATAAATAATTAGA